TTTTTGACGAGTTCATTCAGACGTAGGTCAAAAGCATTTGTACTTTTAAAAATCCTATAGCCAGGGCTCTAACAATGTTAGAGCACTTGCCTAGCATTATGTCTATGAGGCTCTGAGTTCCATTCCTAGGACAGCAACACAGTCAAACAAAAACAAAAACAACAAACACGTAAAGTACCAACCTAAAAAACATTTTGGACCAATCTTCTTAGGAATCACATTATTTTTACAGGAGTGAGTCACTCTTCATTGTACTGGATAAAAGCTTTTCTCAGGTTGGTAAGAAGAGTAAATCCTTTCCTTTCTTGAGATCCTTTCTATCTGAATAGGAAAAAAGGCAGTAAAGGCTGCTTTCAGAAAGAACACCTCTAGCCCTAAAACAATCTCTTTCAAAAAATCAAGTGAGACGACAAACTTCTTCAGAGATGTTTAGGTGGAAGATATCAACACAGCTTTGGGTCTAGACAGGCCAGCTGGCTGTTCTTGTAGGAACTGTGTATACTCACATGGGCAATTATCCTAAGCTACAGCTGCTAACATGATTTTGCAAATTCCCTGCCTGCAAAGGACTGATCATCCCCTCAAGAATGGGCCTAAATGTCTTGCAACTGCACAGACCTACCTGAGCTTCTCCTGCCACCGGGCCCTTTGAGGTCTTTCGTAATTTGCATTCCTTGGGCAAATGGAATTTAAATTCCTTGGGCAAATTTCATCCTGATGGAACACCAACATGACATGTGTGCTGTGATCTCACTGTTTAGGATTTTTGTTTTATAATCATTGATGGATGCTCTAACAGGCAGATGAGGTAAAGCGTTTGGGTGCTATTCTGCATTCTGCTTCATCTTTATATATAGCCTTTGCTTTTTCAAGTATCTTTACAAAGAACAATAGCATTTCATGATATTCTTCGTGGTGGGAAGTAGAGAGTATTACAGAGAACATCAAAAGCAAAATAGGCTGCAGGCTAAGAAGCCTGTAAGTTAATGTGCCTTAGTATTCAGGACATAAGAGTAGTGAATAAGATCACAGTCTTATATAATAGTAGTAGTAGTACTAGTAGTGAGTAATGAGTAAGACTAATGGTTTATAATCAGACTACATGTCTAATCGCTCTTGCAATGGGGAAAATCATATTCTTCTGTTTCATGGTAAGTGGAATCTTTATCTATTTTAAATTATTTGATTTGCTGGACAGCACAAATATGACTTCACCAACAATCTGAAACAAAAGTTCTTAATTCCTTTTTCGTCATTTCAATACTGGGACATAGACTACAACTTGCTACAGGCCATTTTCCTTGTTCTTTGCAATTCTGATTGGCTCTGAGAATTTTGCCTCCCACTTAGGAAAAGATCAACAAACTATCTGAGGTGATGTATCTGAGCTGGATTGACAGTTCTAGATTTTCTGGGCCAGGGGACTTCAGTTTGTCACTTATCTCTGTAGCTATACCTTGCACATAGACTGGTGACATTGTCTGTACTTCACAGGGTACATGTGAGACTTAAGTAAGTACGCGAAGGGTCGTGTGGACACAAGTGTATAACTAGAATATCCACACACCTCTACACTCAAAAGGATCACTAGCTCCTTTCATTTTTCATTAGATTTTACATCTCCAAAATTCCACTTGTCTTCATAGTTTTGCCTTGCAAAACGTTTAATTCCGTGCACAAATGGGTAGGTGAGGTGCTTTTGAGTGAAAAACAATCCTCCATTGAGCTTTGTTTACTGAAGATCTCTGCTCCCCTTATGGTAACCCATCTCAGAGCTCACTACCTACCATTATTTCTAGTGGAGTAAGTTGGTGCAGGTAAATGATACAAGGGCAGGCAAGGCATTACTAGCCTTGCTCAGGATCCCTTTCAGCGCTGGCTGAGCACTTTGGAAGGCACAGAGCTGGTGCTGCATAGCTCACTAAGAGAGTAAGCAAATGTACTGTGTCAAAAGCAACCTAAGTCCACATGGGTGTCTGTGAGGCTCCTGCACCCCCCGAGGGTCTATGTGTGTAAACCTATTAGTAACTTAAGAGATTCAGGACTTCAGACAAGTCTGTGATATTCTTGCCAGAGACATTTTGATCTTAAACCCAATGTGGGGGCTGAGACAAATAAAAATAAATACATCAAAGCCTTTGTTGTGCCTTTTAAAACATTATAAGATTGGCATGTCCCCTACTTTCTATGAATAAATATTGGTGAAACAAGTCTCTTGTTAACTTTTATATCCGATCTCATGGACAACAAAAGGTTAATAATAATTTTTTAAAAATCCCAAAGGGACTAGGGATATAGCTCAATGGAAACCCTATCATCCGATCATTTCATCCCTAGATCTCAGGAGAAGGGGAAAGGGAAGGGGAACGTGAGGAAGAGGAAAAAGAATCAGAAAAAAAACTTCTTTAATTTAGAAAAGTCTATGTCATCTTTCAGTTTCAAACCTCTGTAATCTCAAAGTGGGCAGCCATATGACAGAGGAAGGGTTTAAGACAGATGACAACTTAAGATACTCTTTTTGAAATAACAGAAGGGAATTCAGTCAACATACTTGAACAAATAATAAATTTATTAGGTGTGTACAAGTACAAAACACGGAAAGCTGCTGTAGAGGATTATAAATTTGTGCAGGAGATGCGCCTGCCCTCAGAGAGCTTACAATCTAGGCAACAAGTCACAAGGATAAATTTGGGTAATCACGGCTTCAGGTAACATCAGCAGAGCTGTTGAAAGTGTTCACATCATTTACATCCTTCGAATTCTGTTCCTTGCAGATCTAAGACATCTTTTCAATAGGGAAGTTAAATGTGGGAGAGACCTTTCATGGAATGAATGAGTGACCTTGACTTTGCATAGAAGCATCTTTCCTTGCTATTGTTTATTCTTGTAGCTTTCTCAGGAGTGTTTCCTCACTGGACGGTGGCCTGCAGTCTCCATGCTTCCTGAATCCTCACCAGGGTTTCCTGTTTGTGAGCAGCTGGCTTGCAGTTTGGCCTTGGAAGCGAGTCACAATCCAGGTTTTCCTTCAGAAAATAAACCTCTCATTTGATTTCAGATGGCGCTTACTTTGTTATTCTTTACAATCTGTGCTTCTGAGGATAGGACAAAGATGCAATACAAAGGAAAGAAGGCCAGACTTTTCCCTTAAACATTTAATAGTGCACTTACTGGGTTATATTCTGTACAGATATAGAGCAAACTATAAACCTCTTCCTTTTATATTTATTTTCATTTAGACTGTATTCATGTAAAGTGTATTTACAATGGGGGAAAGGGAGCCTTGAGGTACAAAACCCAAAAGAATATCTGAGGTATAAATACAAGTATGTTTTAAATAATAATCTTTCTCATGCTTTATCTATGTCTGAAAGCACAGTGGACAGACATGTGTACATGTATCTTAATAGAATGGTATATACAACACACAATCTTACAAATCAGGAAGCTGTCAAACTTGAATATACATGGCAGGAATAGCTTTACAAGCAACACTGATTGATAGTCAAAATACTCAAAACTTTTAAATCTCTAATCTGATCCCCGTCCCCCAAATTCTTCAAAGAACCTTTTGAAATAACACTGACAATGGTAACTAAAATTGTAACAAAATAAAAATCCTTCTCTCATACATAATTCACTTTTGATCCATACAAAATAAATTTACTAATACTGTCTATCTTTGCCATTACAGTAAAACCTGTATAAAGACTACCCTTCCCAAACAACTGCTGTTTTTTTTTTTCTTTAAAACAACCCCATTCCCTCCACTATGGATACTATTTTCAGTGCTACTAAAATATATTTTAAGGGTATTCTAAGGGAAAAGAGAAAGAAATATGGGGGAAAAGAAAAAAACACAGAAAACCTATTTGGAGAAAATGCCAAACCCAATTTATAAATATGTTCTGCTTTGGAATGCTTTTTAATAATTCCCTCCTATCTAAACAAAACAAAACAAAAAACAGGCTTTTTTTGTTTCAGTTAAATTTACAGGAATTTCTTAGGGACATACAGTTTCTATTATATTGACAATGCGAGGAACTGTATCAGGTTAAAAAGTTTTGATGCTTAATTTAGGGTTAAATGTTAAGAGGATCAATCAGTATTTGTATCTCACTTAAAACAAAAATCACCTTGCCAGACAATGTTAGCTCACACCTGTAATCCTAGCTACTCAGGAAGCTGAGATCTGAAGGACTGAACTTCAAAGCCAACCCAGGCAGGATATTCTGTGAGACTCTTATCTTCAATGAACCAACAAAATGCTGGAAGTGAAGGTGTGGCTCAAGTGGTGGAATACCAATCTTGAGTGAAAAAGCTAAGGAAGTATGCTCAGACCCTGCATTCAAGCTCCAGTACTGAGACAAAACGAAAGTCCAACAAATAAACAAAACCACCAAAAAGAAACAAAACACTTCTTTAGAGCCCATAAGGGAACTGGGATATTTATTCCTGAGCTAATCTTACTAGTTCAAACTATATTACTTTTTGCAATTAGGTCTAAATCCCAGTTGCATTAAAATGAATGTCAGGGAAAAAAATCTACAATTTAAGGGAAACAAGAAGCTGGTGGAGAAGAAACATGCTAAAAAAAACCTGAAAAGAAAAATGGACAAGGGAATTGGGTCACCTTTCTAGTTACAATCCCAGGGGTAGTCAGCTAATCCAGGTTGGACCAAACCTGGTGCACCAACGTCTTTCTTGAAGCCATCTCAGTGTGCCAGACACTGCATTCCAGCGTTTCCATCTATGCCACTCAACTAGCAACAGACACACATTCACTCTCCTCTGTGCAAACCTATCCCTGCTCCTCTCAGTGAAAAACACCTGTGGGAGTACCAATTCTTACAGTGGAAACATCAGTTCCTCCACAAACCGCCCATCCATGACACAGTACACATACAGCGGCATCACTAGAGAACTAAGTCTTTTCATTATCTTCCATAATCTATTTAAAGAGTTTGCTTCTCAGAAGCAATGTGAATAAGAACACAAGTACATTTTTTTTTGCACAGTCATATATTCCAGTCAAGGTCTATAATACAGACCTTAAACAAACAGGAAGCAGCTTTAAAAAAATGTATCAAATCACTAGAGTTCACGTCTTAACACCCCCAAGTTGCATTTGTTTCAGGATCACACAACAGATGACCTCTTCCAAGGACTGGCAAGGTTCTAGACACAATCACCCAGGTGGTGGGCACAGTTGTTTTGCTTTGGTAATCACCTGGATTTGGTGTCCTTGGTATCAGTGTTTGGATTACTGAAGGAGTCTCGAATCTTTACCACTTCAGCTGCACACAAATGTCCAAAAGATTTTGTGTACCACTCTGGCATGTGGCCCCTGTCACAGGAAGGAAAAATTGGTAAGTGATGGAAGGTAGGTAAAGACACTTCTGAATATACTTCTTCCCCTCCCTCCCTCCATCGCTTCATTTCTCTTTCTTTTCTTGCACTGCTGGGATCAAAGCCAGGGCCTTTCACATATTCTCACTTATATTTTATAATAAGCAAAGCATGCTAAGTAAGAAGCTACAATTTTTTATCCTCTGGTGAGCCCTTTGCATGTCCATTACACTTGGCACCAGAGGTCTCCCAAGGAACAATATATTAAGCAAGATATTCACTGAAACTGCCCAGAGCAAGTGTTAGTATTGTCATATGTCACAGAAACAGGTCACAGGGACAAATGAAGAACTAGATACATAAAGATTCACAGTAGTTGGTTCTGATCCATAAACTATGCCATTCCTTGGAGTATCAAATTCATGGGAGAATCACTAAATTTGGCATTGCTTTAGTCGTATATTTTCTAAGCAATCCAGATTAGGGAGTGATCCTCAGAGACTAGCCCAAAGGAAACTGCTGCTTTGTAAGTACTACTGCTCACTCGATCACCAATACACTCAATCCCTTCCTTCCACCAGGCTGAAAATAGGAACCTTCTTAAAGACTCCTCTCATGTTAGAAAGTCAGAACCAGAACGTACCTTAAATCAGCTCTGCACATGTAGGTGAGTTTGGATTTTCCTGGCCCGCAGGGTTCAATCAAATATCGGGATAGAAGCACATTGACCCTCACACCTACCACAGGTGCCCGGTCGTGATCCACAGAGGTGAGCAGGAGGGCACAGGCTCCCTTGGGTAAATTAGTCCTCCAGGTTCTAGAGACAAAATCAGAGAGCAAAACAAACAAATGGGACTTCCTGAAAACTAAGTTGGAAATGGTATCCTACTCGTGGAGGAGACTGTGAGTGGCCAGGCTCAGTTGCTCCATGACCCATGCCTGATAACAGGAGAATGAGAACCACTTCACCTGGACTACAAGACAAACAACAGCTACTTCTGCTGAGGTAAATCCTCAGACAGTCCTTTTTTAGGAAAGAACCAATTTTAAATGTTGCTAAACATCCTTTTCACATTTCATGAAAGTGTCCCCATCTGAAAAGGATTGGGACACACGATGTGACATTTCCTTAAAGATCACTGGAATTCTTTCAGTAAGTCTCCAGCGAACTTACGATTCCATGCGAGTCAGACTTAACCACATCTCTCTTGGGACTCAAATGCTATTTCCTGGCTTATTCATTCACTGTCCATTTCTAACCAAAAAAAAAAAAAAAAGTATCCTAAAAGGGAGCAGAAATCTATTATACCGAGAAGCATATTCATGTGATGTGTCTTGGTAACTGAGTTCAGTTCCAAAAGAGCTCAAACCATTTTCAGTCAAATACCTCACTGGCATAAATGCAGATGTTTAAGGAGGGTCATCATTGCTGTGGAGACCTGTATTTAATGTTAAATAATGTAACTATCTTGAGAGATTTAGTGCCATCTTGGCTCGTTTCTGACATTCAGTTGTCTGTTCCACAGTAATCCACCTGGAAGATCTTACCTCAATACAACATAGTCCCGAGCAGGGTGGGGTGCCATGCTGTTTTGGACATACTGATAAATTTCAGTCTGGCTGTCTAGGATTTCAATCACTTTTGAGTCCAACAGGTCGACATCCCAGAGGTGCTGCTCTTTCAGTAGTCGCTTTAAGATTTCATCTGGTGTAGCAGGGACTTCAATGGTGGATCTCCAAAGCCTCAAAGGGGGTCCCTCACTCACCTGAAAAAGAGGACACACTTGTTCAGTTCTCACACGAACCATGCACACCTTTTGACCCTGAAGGCAAACTGGGAGTAGAAGAGAAGACCTTAGGTTCAGAAGCTAATTCATCTAGGCCACTGGTAGGCCAGTATCGCTTAGTAAATTCAAGAGCAGGCCAGAAGAGCAAACAATACCAGCAAACAATATCCAGGTCCAGACCATGACCTGTATCAATGTAACTGTGATAAAGTCAGTTATTTTACCTGCACCCCCAAATCGTGTCATAATCGTAGGACTACTGCTTATCTGTTTTTTAGGATAGTACTGAGGTTTGAACTCAGGGCCTTGAGCTCTTGCTCGGCTTTTTTGCTTAACGATAGAACTTTACTACTAAATTCATACCTTGAATTTTTGGCTTTTTGCTGGTTAATTGAAGATAAGGCTGGGATTTATTTGTCCAAACTGGCTTCAAACTTTGATCCCAAGATCTTAGCCTTCTGAGTAGCTAGGATTACAGGTGTGAACCACTGGTGCCTGGCTACATTTTTTAAGGTGCTAAAGATGTTCATCAAATCATTCTGTGGACCTATCATGTTAAGTCATATAGGATGCCCAAAATAAGGGGAGTCAGAGCAGATGGGGAACACAAAGGGATTTTCATCAAATTATGGAAAAGTCTAAGCCTGTCCTAAGATGGATTTGAAAGCCCAGTACTATTTAGTAAAACATGCCAGGGAATTCTAATGTGTTTCTGAGGGGAACAAAGTATTTCCTTTAAAAGTGATTAAAATCTCAAGTACTAATGAGTGTAAGCCAGCCTGTGATTGGTCTCCACGTTGACCAGAGGAACTTGAATCAGCTGGCTGCCCAGTTCCCAAGGACAAATCTGGGCTGTGGATTCCCACAGAGATTATAGCTAGGAAGTCTTCTCTCTGATGACTCCAAATCCTGACCATCAAAAGTCCACCAGGACTTACCTTCTTATAGGACAGCTCAGCCTGTTCCGAAGTAGAGTAGCTGACCCAGCCTTTAAACTTCTCTTTGACCTCCTTAAACAGACCATCTACACAGTCCTGAATGAAGTGCTTGTAGTCAGCTGACTCATTACTCAGGTGTCCTAAAGCCTCCAGTGTCAGGGGCTTCAGCTCTTGTTCGGTGTAGGAATTGCGACATCGGCTCATTTCCTCAGGAACCTGGGAAGACCATGAAAGGCGAAAAGGCAGTGACTCCACAGAGGCCATCAGCAAAAACGGGGGACAGAAGCAATGGCCTAGATCCTTAAGGCAGGACAGGCAAAGGACAGGGCAGGAAATTCGATCCTTATTCCCAACAGATGGTGGGCTGGTCACATCATGAGGGTAAAGACAGACTACTTTCACAAACAGTATTCTCTGCGTAGTTAAGAGTAGAAAGGTAAGAACTAAAATAGGATGAACAGTGATCCAGGAACGGTTCTAATGTACAGAATGTTGTAATTAGTTATTGTTACTTTCCAACTAAAGAAGTTTAACTTAGGGGATCATTGATATCACTAAGTGTTGAGTGTATACTAAAAGACATATAGACATCATTCTTTAAATATGTATAAACCTCTAACTATAGAAAAGATAAGAAAAACAAGTACCAAGTCTATAGCTTGTCTCCATTCATATTATCTTTTTTTAAGTAAACAGTAATTTATTTTCAAGTGATAGGAAAATTGTCCAAATAGTTAGACTCTCCATAGGAGAGGGGCTCAAAGAGGAGTCCCATTCACATCACCCTTAGTCCAGCTGCCCAGCTTCCTGATTCCTTACCTGGAAGAGCTTCTTGCACTCAGCAATCATGTGGGCCAGCCCTTGAGTGGCAGCTAAGTTTTCATTCAAATCTTTCTGATCTGGTTTGCCCAAACTCTGTTTTCTTTGCATTACCCTAAGTAGAAGAAATAAAAATAAGATGGGGATGAGTCAAACATTTACTATATCCTAAACCAATGCGTTTGCATTGCCCCTAGGTAGAAGAAATGTAAGAGAGGGGAATGAGTCAAGCATTTATATATTCTTTTTGTTGTTGTTGTTGGTCATGGGGCTGGAACTCTGGGCTTAGATGCTGTCCTTGGGCTCTTCAGCTTAAGGTGAGCACTAGGGCCATAGCACCACTTCAGGTTTTCTGGTGGTTAATTGGAAATAAGAGTCTCACAGACTTTCCTTGCCTGGGCTGGCTTTGAACTACGATCCTCAGATCTCAGCCTCCTGAGTAGCTAGGATTATAGGTGTGAGCCACCAGCGCCTAGCTCATTCATATATTCTTAACCAAATGTATCACTGAAGCCAATTCAAAGAAGAAAAAAATAATTTCCCTGGAGCCCATTTGTTAAAGAGTTGACCAGTGTTTCTCAGAATTTTATCAACAATACTTCAAAACCATAGATACACATTTTTAATGAAAGCCGAGGCATTTAAAACCATTTTGTTTAAGAGGTTTCTGTCTTCAGTGATAGGTTCCTTTAAGAGGCCTTGCCCATGGTGGAGAACAAGGCTAGGACTGGGAGTTGGGTAAGTGGTGTTACTATCCTTAATGGTTAAATAAACAGAGTCCCTTCCCATCGGTGTGGGATAAAACTATTGTTTCCTAGAAGGGTTGTCATAGACTTACTTCATCTTTTTACTTTCTTCTCTAGTTCTGTCTCTCATTAAAGTTGGAATGCTCCAGCAAACCGTTAGCTCAGGATATTTAAGCACTACCTGGCTTTCAGAAACAAAGATGATTTCAACTAGCACAACTAGATCCCTTGTTTCTAGTGGGAAAATACTTTTGTTGGTAGTGGTAGTCCTGGGGCTTGAATTCAGAGCCTGGGTGCTGTCCTTGTGCTTTTTCTGCTCAAGGACACCACTTTGAGTCACAATACCACTTCTGGTTTTCTGGTGGTTAACTGGAGATAAGAGTCTCACAGATTTTCTTGCCCAGGCTGGCTTTGAACCATGCTCATCAGATCTCAGCCTCCTGAGTAGCTAGATTTCACAGGCATGAGCCACCAGTGCCTGGTGAGAAATACTTTTTAGGATTCTTTAGTGATGAAGTAAAACCATCCACTGGATGGGTTTAAGATGAAAGGTCCAGTTAGTTGCCTTGTACACAAAAGTGCAACCTTGGCTCTCTTTCTTCCTGTCAGGCACAGGTAAGTTACTGAACTAACTAACCACCTTCAACCATCACTTTCCTCATGTGAATGAAGGAGGTCCACCTTCTACGATTGTTAGGAAATGACATGACTAATGGAAATGAGATGATTAGTTATGTTATGAAATGAGATGATTAATGGAAACAGAAGGGTCTTGTGTTTGACAGAGAGTGTCTGGCAAACTGCAGTGTTCACTAGGGTTCTGATTCCCTGATTTTCTCCGTGGCCACGCCCATGAGGTACATATGTGTTCTAAGCAGAAAGACTGCTAACCAATGGCTGTGGCCAGAGTAAATGAATATCATGGAGGCTTGTCACCAGCTTTCAGGCTTTTCCTTTTCTGTGTGTGTGTGCTGGTACTGTGGCTTGAACTCAGGTCCTGGGAGCTGTCCCTGAACTTTTTTGCTCAAAGACCATGCTCTACCACTTGAGCCATAGGTCTATGTCCGGCTTTTCGGTGGTTCACCAGAGGTGAGAGCTTCCCATGGACTCTCATGACTGGGCTGGCTTTGAACTCTGGTCTTCAGATCTCAGCCTCCTGAATAGTTAGGATTATAGGTGTGAGCCACTGGCACATGGCCATTGTTCAGTTTTTGGACCTGGCTATTTTAATTTTGGGCACAGCCTAAGAGTTCGGCTTTACGAACACACACAGAGGCTGAGGCAAACAATATTATCTACATCAATAACTCTGCATAGTTCTTGGCTGGCAGAATGTGCGATGACACTGTTAAGACTCGCTCAGAGTCAACATTGGCCATGGCAAGGTATGAAGCCCATAGGACTTGCTCTCAAAACCTGGTTGATCCAGGTTGTCTAGAAGGCCATACTTAAGAAAAGCGGGTGGGAATGGAGTGTGGGAATAGTGGTAGAGTACTTATCTAGCAGGCATGAAGCCCTGGGTTCGAATTCTCAGTACCACATAAACAGAGAAAGCCAGAAGTAGCTCTGTGGCTCCAGTGGTAGAGCGCTAGCCTTGAGCAAAAGAATCTCAGGGACAGTGCCTAGGCCCTGAGTTCAAGCCCAAGGACTGGCAAAAAGAAAAAAAAATGAAAGGAAAGGAAAGTGGGCCATGGCAGCATTAAGAGGCTTCCTGCATTCCCACCCTATGGCCCTACCTTGGAGAAGAATTCTCCCTCTTCAGGGTGTTGAGATGGAAAAGGGAAGGCGCTAAGCACACAGCCAGGTTGGTGGGTGTCATCTGGTTTTCTTTTACCGCTGCTGTGACATCGCTCAAGAAGTAAAGAAGAGTCTGGAGAACTTCCCTGTTCTCGTCAGGCAGGAGCATAATGGCGGCCTTGATGGCTTGGAGGCGCTGATCCTTGGGCACATCTGCAGGGTACAAGCATTTCCTCCTCAGTTCAGTGAATTTCCATGTGGATGGCGAGAACCCGGCCCAAAGCAAACATCAGCATCAAACACTGAACAAGCACTTGCAGAAAGTATACTAGAGGTTAATAAGGGAGAAATTATGGGCTGCCACCAGCGTCACTACCCTCAAGTATTTCCTGTCTCACGGACATGTTAAACATTTTTAAACACCCGCAACACTACACTAATACACTCCTAAATCCACCTCAGAATTCAGTTCTGTGTTCTTCTAGTTTACAGAACAAATGTTTCTTCTAAGCACTTAAAAAATTGCCCATTAGCCACCTCAATGACTGAAACTAACTTTTGTTTATAGTTTCAATGAAAAGTTTGAGATATGTATGAAATGATAAAAACAGAATCTCTAAGGACTGTCATAATTGACTGATTTGTTCATCCTTGAAATGGAAAATGCTGTTAAAATATCCAGCCAATTCAAACCAGACATATTAAACTAGTAGTTTCTTGCGTTTCAGAAAGTACATCAAGAGGCTAAAGGAGAAATGTCTATACATACGAAAATATACAAAAAGGGAAATCCATCAAATAATCTATGCTTAGAAAATGTGGAACCCAACTCCAACCTTGGTTTCCTTTAGGTCTCCTTTAGTAGGCAAACTTTTAAAGAAGCATTTGCTGGAAAAAAGCAAGTCACTCAAATGCAGTACTATAAGACAAACTGATTCAACTGCTCCATGGTTACAATACATAACAAATACTTTGGTGGGGAAAATGTGATCTGTGTTTTCATAAAATATGAAAGGATGAAACAAAAAAATGAAATAATCCAGAGCAGCTCCATTTCTCATAAAACAGAGCCCAATGTGCCAGTTCTAAAGACAACTTCATCACTGAGAGACGCTGCTTTTAAATCACATTGCTGTAATACCAATGTGAGCCAAGAAAAACACCAGGCTGTAAAAGCTATAATCCTGATCTTGATCATTAATTTCAACAACTGTTTGCTTTAAGCTTTGCTTAAAAGTGAGAAGGGCATGGGTATTGTTTTCTCAAGTATTCCTGGCAGGGACTTCGATGAATAACAGAAAAAAAATTATTTATTCATTTTACAGTGAGATGAAACACACAGACACCTGTGAAATTTTAAATATAACAACTGTTAGATGTGGAGCAACTGAAATTTCTGTAGACAAAGGAGGAGATGGAAAGAGAAAGAAAGGGAGTGGGAGGGAGGAGAGAGAAAAAGAGATCTTGGTATTTTTGTTTTTTAACTAAGCATGTGAAATAACACTGCAGTAGAAACAACTATAAGGAGATAGGTCAGATTGTAAAAATGTACAACTTCCCCATAACTCAGACTGATAATAAGGCAAAATTGTTTTTGAATTATTCAAATTATTCACAAGTATATAAACAAGGAGACAAGGCAGAATGAATGACCTATGTTTTCAAGGTTGCCATGAAGGTCTCTTGTCCAACAAATGACATGGAAGGATGCCAAAAGCCTTGGTTGGTCCCACATTTCTCAGCCACTAGCCCTCTTAATAAGATTCCAAACACTTACATTGGTAGATCTGTAAAAAGGTTTCGGAGAGCTTGTTGGTCATGAGAGGCTCGGGAAGATCTCGAAAATACTGCTTCAGCATGTCGGCCACATCGTAAGCTGACTGTCCTTCATAATTGACACAGTCCACGGCACTTTCGTTCATCTGGCGCAGAGCCTGAATCCGAGATTTGACACCCGACTTCCTGAAGAGTCCAACCTTTTGGAAGGAAAATATTAGGTGTCAGGATGGAAGCCAACATCCTCACTACAAAACGAGAACAAGTAGCGAGCACGTAGCATGGGACGTGCAGGCAGCAGCCCTCACCTGGTCCAGACAATGATTGCGCAGGTACCGCATGGCCTGCTGAATGCTTTGTGGCAAGGGCTGTCCCGTGCGCTGCACGCTCACTGTCAGAGGGACCCCGAACACGCTCCGATCCTTGTAGTCCGGAACTTTGATCCTCTTCATAAACTTGGGCACGGCCCTGTTTTAAAGGACATGGTGGAATGTTGAATTGTCTGTCCATACTTCTTCTGACTCCAGGCAAGTCCTGTGTGCCCTAATTCTGTGCTAACACCATTGGCTGTTTAAATTTAAATGATCATTTCAGCACCGACTAGCCATGTGTGTCCAGTTTTGTCTCTACTAACAATTCTGCAGGACAGGGCTGTTCTAGGTCTTATAAGAGCTATATTGTCGGTGGCTCATGCCTGTCATCCTAGATATTCAGAAGGCTGACATTTGAGGATCCAGGCTTGAAGCCTGCCCAGGCAGAAAAGCCCTTGAGATTCAATCTCCAATTAACCAGAAAAAAATCAGACTGGAGGCATGGCCCAAGTGGTAGAGCACCAATCACGAAAAAAACAGCCCAGTGTTAAGGACAGGTCACATTTTCTAAGTTGGGAAACCACCTTCCCCTGCTAATGTTGGGAACTTGGTTCCTTTAACTAAGGGAGTTGATGGATCTCAATCATCATAAGATGGCACAAGATTTAACCGAAGCAGAAAACATGTAATACAATTTTTGAAAAACAAGTTCCCATTTTGTTCTCAAAGGGCAAAGATGAGATCAGGCTCAAAAGACCCTTCTTAAGGCTGTGTGAGAAATCAGCAAATGTACAATATTGGTCTTATATAATGAGAATCAACTCCAGAGCTTAACAGTGCTCAATTTGAAGTCAAAATAAATTCGCCTGCTGATGACCCCAGAGAACATAACATCTTAAGGTTTCTGAGAGAAGATACAAAAAGGAACAATGGGGGTTTTGTGAGCCTCCCCAGGCTCCCTGGAGTCCTGAAAGCAACCCCCCTTCCCCCAGCAGTATATCCAACAGCAGGAAACCCATGTCGTGCATTTAAGGCTGTCAAACAGACATCTGAGCTCTACAAATGACCCCTGGGAGTGAGACAAGAAAGGGCAAGGCAAACAGGAAAGGAACCGAGGGCAGAATTTCTCCCCACTGTGTGGTGGATCCCACAATGCTGGGCTTTTACATTTGCTTTGACTCACTGGAAAAACTGACCAGAACTCAAGAAATATTATGGACTTTTTAGATTCTTGAGGCTTTGGTGGGAAAGGGGTAGACACCTTAGAAACGAGAATCTAAACTATTCAGTTTTAAATAGCCAGTAGGGAAAATATTACTCTTTAGCACAGAAGCTGACTGACTGCCTTAACTTTGGAGTGTTACCCACGGCCACATCATATTCCTGTTTATAGCTCGAGGAAAGGTAAAGCCAAAGAGCACAGCCAAATGTGTATTTCCATACAGTTAAACATACAGTATTATGGCTGGAAGTGTGCATAATACTCGCTTTGTGGGGGGGGGGGAGGGGTAAAAGCCCAGCTTGCGGAATGTGGAAAGAACACATTACGCTCTTCCACGAGAATTTGAAGCATCTGGAGCTAAACCAGTCAATACTTATTTCTGTCATTCCGAACAAACAACTTCTGTACTTAAACTCACATAATAACCGCCTTTGCTCCAGAGGTGCTTTGATGCTGTACATACACTCCATAAGTATCCAAGTTAGGAGGAGTTGGGAGAGTGTTCGACCAGCTACTTGTCTGCTAGAGTGCTCTAGTGAATAGGGTTGCTTCTGTATCCTTAACGACTGGCAAGTGAACACTTTGATGGACACCCAGGTCATACTGAAAAATACACTGAGTATCCATCCAGAGATAGTCTTTGGTCTCTCACATTTTTCACACTCACGACTCATCTAGTCAATAGTCTACATCTTACTTGTAAGTGCTCCATGTTGGATTTATTTTTTAAAGGAATTAGGATAAATGCATCCAATAATTGTCACCTTAAGATATTGGTCTATAATATTTTCTAATGAATTACTTCAACTTAATATTCAGTCTTTGATCATCTTTGCTAGGGGAAAATAATACTATAAACTCTTTTTAGTATATAGGAAGATTTCTGAACGAGGCCACAAACGTTCATGTCAAAAATGAACCATTGGACCAAGGATGCAGCTTGGTGGTAGAGAATATGCTCAGTATGCACAATCTCTAACAATTTAATAACAACAACAATAACAAAAAGATTCCTAAAACCATGTATAAATATGACTGGGTGATATACTAAGAATTTCAAACATAAACAAACCCATAACATTGTCCTTATTTTTTCCTTCCTTCTTTCTATAAATATGATCTGACACCACATACATACTGATGTACTGCAGACGATTCCAATGACTACAAAGATGACCACACCGTGGTATGAATGATGCATCCTTTCTTCCCCCATGACTGAAAATGTCATTCAAAGAGCTCGAAACTCAATCAACCTACTTTGCTGGCAGTCCCCCCCCAAACCTCCACAGGCTTCAGTAGTATTAAATGTGGCCTCAAGAATACAGAGACTGCATGAGATTGCAGACTAAAGACATAATAAAGGACACTGTCATCATGTGTTCAGTGAAGGGATGTTCTCAAGGAGTGGACCCACATTATCTTCTGTTACTATCTTCAGAGTAATTTCTATGCTTACCAGCTGAAACCATGCTTGTTGGAAGGCGTGTACTTCTCCAGCAGGGCAGTTAGCTTCAGAAGTGAGTATTTCTGCAGTAGGTTCATTTGGGCTACAGATTGGCAGTTAATCTGCAGAGATACAGAGTTTAGACTTGGCCGATGAGAGCTCTGGAAACTGTGCCATCTCAGTCTGTGCCTGGAAGAGAACACAGCAAAGGCTTCTTAGAAAGCAGACGCAAAAACTCAGCTGCAGGCTGTTCTTTGCCATCTTAGGAACCAATAGGATGCAGGTTCCATCTCAAGCTCCACACCCAAATCCTAGGATTTGCACATTTCCATGCACATCTTCTCACATTACTTCTGGTTTATTTATAATGCCTAAAACAACGTGAATGTTGAATAATTAACATCTATATGCATCTACAATGCAGACTTTTTCTCAGAATAGGTGGTTAGGTCTTCAAATACAGACAATGTGGATAAGGAGGGTTCACTATGCATAATGGCAAACAGACCATTTTAACCATTCCAAAGTAGGCAGGTCAATGGCATTAAGACCACTCACATGTGCATACTTGCAGCTCCCATTACTCTCCATCTGAGCTTTTCTCATCTTCCTCAACCCGACGTCCATGTCCATAAAACCATGCCCTCTCTTTCTGATGGCACAATTTCCTGTCTGATAGGAATCTACCTGACTATGAATACCAGACTTCATCCTACTTACAATAGAAACCATTCCTTTCTGACCTCACACCCACCAACGTTGGGGGAGCAGGACGGATCGTACCTGTTACACCTGGTCAGGGAAGCCCCGACCCCGGAGTCTCTTCTTTCCGGGATGTCAGTTGGCTCTTCAGGTTCATTCAGGGAGTTGCCCGTGCTGTCCAGGTCACTAGGTGTTGTTCGGTCGTTGTCCACATCCAGGTGGATCTGCTTTGGGGATGATGGACATGGAGAGACAGAATCCAGGGCTGAGTCTGAGTCTCCCTCATCAGAAAACTTTTCTGACCACTGGTTGACTATCCGTTGCATCCCCTTTACATGATACAGGATGTCATCTAGCTCGGGGAAGATGTCCTCATTCTCCAGGTCAGCCAGATCCCCTGAGCTGGAATACAGGATGGAGCCTGGCACGTTGTCGTAGATGCTCAGGCGGCTGCTCACGGAGCTGGAGGAATTGCGTCTCTTCAGTTCCTTAGGGCTGTCGTTGCTGTTTTCCCTTCTTAGGCTGATATGGCCAGGGCCATGGAAGCTTCCTGTCCTCCAGTTCACAGAGCTGTCATTTGCTGAGGAACAGAAACTGCCGTTGGAGAGGGCTTTGGGGAATGTGCCAGGTTTGTGATCTTCAGGAATGTAGAACACCGTGTCTTCTGGGTAGCTCTCTCGGTTCTTAAAGTTCTGCTCCACCACGTTGTTGAATGTGGACTGACTGAAGGGATCAAAGCCTTCGAGGTACATGCCCACCCGCTTGTTACAGGTGCTGAGGCTCCTGGTTCTGGTGACAGGGCTGGGCGTGCTGACAGCACTGCTCGTCTCCGACTGGCTGCTGCTACTACTGGTGTGTGTGGAGTTGGACACGCTCCTCTTTCGTACCATGGGGACGTTGATGTGGTTGCCGTTGAGGGCTGAGATCTCCACACAGTTCAGCTGCTTCAGCTTCTCCTCATCCATACCCTCTTGCAGAATGGGTCCGCTGATGATCAGCCCCAGTTTGGAGGGCGCCTTATGCTTGCTGTGGTGGGAGGAGCCCTTGAGCTTCAAGCTCTCCATCCGTTTCAGCAGGCTTCTGGTCCTGGACTTAGTGTTTTTCTCATGGCCTTTCATGCTAAAGCTGAAGCTGGAGAGTTCCTTGGGAGAGGGGAGGCTGCAGAAAGAGTCATCATTACCCATAAAGTGGCCAGAGGAACAGACGCTGATGACGGAGTTAGTCCGGGGTGTCACAGCATCCCCGCCGTGGGGCACGTGGGTGGGGACACTGCTGGTGCTGCTGAGGCTGCGGAGAGAAGACACCTCCTGGTGCTCGCTGAGGTCTGTCAGCATGCTCTCGTGGCTTGCAGCGTTCTTCAGGTGGGAGTCATCTGGGGACCCCGGGATTGGGTCTTGCTTTGGAGAAAAGACATCGAACTCTTCAAGCCTGGACCACCTCTTGCTATCCCTCTGGAACATCCACTTGCCACTTATTGCACAGGGTTCATCCTCATCTGAATCCTCACTCTGCAACAATACAAGGGAGCCATTCAAACACTGGGACCAGCAGACAGCAGGTAGGGGATGTGTTAAGGGCCAGGAGAAGATACTTCTAGGTGTCCATTCCTCCCTCCGTTTTTTTTTTTAATTTCAAAGGTTTATTTAAAGAGTTTGACAGGAGAAAGCCCCATCAAGTATTACCAGCTAAGCAAGAGCTATTGTATAGAAACTCTGTATCTATAGGCTGTCTACTAATGGCTCAGAGGAAACTTCTGACATGGGTGAAAATTCCAGGCATGCAAAATATTTTGAACTGGAGTCAGCTGCAGTGGGACTCCCTTTCGGCTGCCTCCAGCTCTGGTGTCTGTTGATAGAATGTGTTTATATTCCTTTTTTTTTTTTTTGCAATTTAAAATAAAAAGATGGTTTTTCACACAGTAATCACAGTGGCAACACCTAGCCACCATCAAAAATGTCAAAAAATCTCCTGCTAGCTTCTCCTATTAAACAAACAGAGACCAATCAAGGTGAGTCATCCCATATCTTCAGTTCAACCCTGCATCACCTTTTACCTGTTCTTTTTCTTGCCCTCCCCCCATGGGAGCCATGTGGACTTCAGGATTGTCCTGGGCAGTTTCAACCCCAGACATGCTCCAGGCAATTGAACAAAAGCTTTGCGTGGAACATTTATTAAAATACTAAAGTACCACCACTACTGATTATGCTTGATTTATAGGCAAGACCCAGGGAAAATATCCTCTCACCTTAGATTCACAGGACAATGAATAGAGAGCATGAAGAATTGACTAGTTCATTTGCTTAAGAGGCTTAGCTTTCCAAGTGAAGGTGACTTTTGGCAGGCTAAGGACTCTAGTATAATTAAAATTTGAACCCTGAGCCATCTTTACTATGTTCTTTGACTGATTATATTGGTTTATCCTAATTTGTGACCCTCACTCCTACAACTTCACCTATCTCTTCTCCTAGATCTCATAAAAGGGCAGAAGAAAACACCATCATCCCATTCAGCTATGTATCATCCTGGCTGCAATGTGTGGGATGTCCTGTCCTGTCCTCTTCCTCCCCTAGTTCTTTTCCTCCCTCCAAATCTCTTATTATGCTTCAATATCCTCCAAGCCAGCCTTCTTTGCTTTCATCTTGACAGCTCTGAAATGTTGCTCAGCTCATGTCCTATCTGGGAAAACAGAAGAGTGCCTAAAGAATGATAGATAGCTCAGTTTTTCTCTCTTGTTTCCCTATATGGCTGGGGATAACAATGTAAAATGTACTGGGATTCATTAAGTCATCCTTTTATTTTACACTAGGCATTGAGATTATTAGGAAAAACAATAATAGATGATTTCTTCAGGTCAAAAACAGTAGACAAAATAATTTATTGGCTGGCTGCATTCATTACTGGATTAATTATATAAAGTCATACAGTATTTAACAAACCTGACTGGATTTTAACATTAAACAGAAGTGTGTCTGAAATGAGAAACTAAGTCTGAAAAACAAAATCTGTTACAAAATGTATTTGGTTTCAGGTTTGTCTACTTATCCACTACCCTCCATCCTAAATATTCACATATACTCACTCTCTTCCGATGAGGGCTAATTTCTAGCTTCATCACCGCACATTTGTTTAAGGTATTTAGACGCCTATAAAGCAAAGAAATAACATTAACATAAAAAGAAAACCTTGATGGGAGGATCAATATTATTTCCAAATTGACATGAGTTTCTTTAAACTCATTAGCAATAAATATAGCTGATTAGAAAAAAAAATTCCTTAAAAAGGAAATCATAAGCCAGGTACCACTCAGAAGGCTGAGATTTGAGGATTGCAGTTTGAAACCAGCCCAAGCAGGAAAGCTTGTGAGATTCTCATTCACAATTAACCACCCCAAAAGGTGGAAGCAGAGCTGTGACTTAAATGGTAGAGTGCTAGCCTTGAGTACAAAAGTGCACAGGCCCTGAGTTCAAACCCCAGGATTGGTGTACACAAGCACTTACACATGCGTGCACACACACAGTAAATTGTTTAAAAAAATACCTTTCTATTGCTTAAACTTTTCATTTAAATTTGAGTTTTTATTATTTCACGTTGCAGTGGCATTGGTCAGGTGCCCCAAATTCTCCATGGAATAAACACCTCAGTGAGAAAATGTATGCTTCCATGCACTTCTAGACTGGGCCATCAGGTATCTGTTATTTGCCAAGAAATAATGGTCTGCTCATCTCCTTTTACAGAGACAAGAACAATAAGGAACCAAGTAGAAATGCTGGCAATATAAATAGTATATTCTATCTCATATAAAACAAGCCTTAGTTATCTCTGATAACTGTTATCTGTCTTAAAATTATTTTAGGCAGTCATTTAAAAGTTAACTTTTCTCTATGGAGAGGAAATCTGAGTTGTCTTTGGCACTCAATCGTTTTTTTACCTTTAAATTCTTCTTCTTTTTTTTGGTAGTCCTGGGGATTGAACTCAGGACCTTACATTTGTTAGGCAGGCCCTGTATCATTGGAGCTATACCTTCAGCTCCTCTATGCTGATTATTTTCCAGGTAGGGTCTCAATGCCTGGGCCAGACTAGACTGTGGTCCTCCTACTTTTGTTTCCAAGTATTATTGGGGGTCACAGACATGTGACACTGCACCAGCTGTCTAACTGGGAATACAGGTATATACACCACTTCACCAGCCATTGGTTGAGATGGAATGTTGCAAATGTTTACATCAAGGCTAGCTTTAAACTGTGATCCCTCTTGAACACCACCTCTTAAGCAGCTAGTATTACAGGCTGGAGCCACAGAGCCCAGCTGACATCTAACCTTTTATATATCTTCCTGCTCAAGAGAGAATTGCACTTGTTATACTGACAGCAATTGCAAAAGATGATTATGTAAAAAGTAATTTGTGTAGTATAACTTCAGGAATCAAAAGCTTATTGAGTTAAAGATTGGCTGTTCTTTGGGACAGAAGTTATAGTATAATTGTGAACTTTCCTACTACCAAAAGACAATATGAAGCTAAAATCAGGAGAACAAGCCTGGGGTGGAATTCAGCGGTAGGGCACTTGGCTAGCATGAGTAAGGCCCTGGGTTTGATCTCTAACACCACAAAATAATAAGCAAACAAAATCTGGGGAAATATTTGGTTTTACTGAAGTGAAATACTTAAAAAATCATGATGAAAGGATTACAAAAAGACTTTCTAAATATGCTAGGCTAAATGGCTCAAGAATGATAGCCCAGTGGGCTCCAGAACTTTCTAACATCATCATGATAATTACCATTGAGCTTTCTTCCAATGAACTTTGTGTGTGTATGCTGATACTTGAGGTTGAACTCAGGGCCTGAGTGCTATATCCCTTAGCTTTTTGACTCTTTCACTTGAGCCACAGCTTTACTTCCAGAGTTTTGCTGGCTAATTAATTGGAGATCAAAAGTTTCAAGGACTTTGTTCCCCAGGCTGGCTTTGAGCTACAATAGTCAGGTTTCAGAGTAGCTAGGACTATATGTTGAGCCATCAGTGACGGGTGTCCAAGGATCTTTTAAAAAAATATTATTATCTTTAGTTGTACAAAGCGGTTTTAATTCAACCAATTTTCAATTTAAAGGGGTTTCAGTATCAGTTTGAGTACAATGCATCTTGATCAATGCCAATAAACTTTTAATGTGTCTGTTTTACTGTCTCAAATCTCCTCACCCTTTTTCCTAAAATTACAATTCTTATGTTTTCATGGGATATGGATTTAATTCACTCAATTCAAACTGATCACATATTCTCTTCTTCAGGCTTTATCTTCCAGATCCTGTCCTTGCAACTGGTCTGACAGAAAACTTGGATGCCGCAGGATAGAAAGTATTTCTGCTGGCTTGATAAGCTTGCCTTTGATTTCCTAGATTATGTGCGTGCCTGTTTAGAGAATAAACAGAGATAACGCAGAGCGTCTATGTTCAGAAAAATTCTCTCTGTAACTGGGGAGGGAAAGAAAACAAATAACCAAGAACAAGTCTGCAGACTTAGAAATTAAGGGCAATGAAAGGTCCCTCTCTAAGGGACATCAATCAATTACTTCAATGGCTTCCACCGACAGTGTTTTAGTTCTCCCATATTTTCAAGATTTAAAGACTCCGGAATGGTTACAGTTAGTCTCAGGTCTGGGATTCATTAATCAAACCTGTAATCAAATACCTACTTGACTCTATTTGAGCGTTAATGGTTGAGTGGTGTTTATAACCAAATTTACTAAGCATGGAGGCCTAAGGGGTTGAAAAGGGTTTATATCACAAATTCTAGATTTGATTTAAAAACAGCAACAACAACAAAGACCCAAGAGGCTTGTTTAACAAAGCTCAATTTTATCTTTTTATGTCAGTAACACCAGGCCAACAACCTTTCAATCCTAGTTATCCTCTGGGTTTTCTCTGTGGTTTTTGTCTCTCTTGGACTCCAGAGAATGCCAACTGACAGGATCTGATTTTCTTATAGAGAGCCAGTAGCTCTAACTAGGAAAGACATGGACTTAGTAGTTACCAGAGCTCAGAAAGGAAGATGGAAAGAAGGATTGCAGAGGTTAGTTACTAGGCACAAAAACAGCCAAAGGGTAAATCCAAGCATTCTATGGCAGACTAAGTAGGGTAGCTATAGTTAATATTAATTTATGATGCAATTTAAAGTAGCTAGATGGAAGGATTTTAAATATTCTCAATAAAAGAAATAAGCCAGCTCACCAGTGGCTCACACTGATAATTTAGCCTTTGAGGAGGCTGAGATATGAGAATGGAGATTCAAAGTCAGCCAAGCAAGGAAGTCTATGAGATTAAGGCTCTTTATCTCCAATTAACTACTAGAAAGCTGGAAGTGGAGCACTGGCCAAAGGGGTAGAAGACTTGAGCAAAAAAGCTCAGGGATAGCACCCAGGCCTTGAGCTCAAGTCCCAGGACTGGCACAATAAAAAACAAAAAATAAATATATAATAAATGCTCCAGGTGATGGATATGCTAATTACTGGTGTTTGTTCATTATACGGTTACATGCATGTGTTGAAACATCAAATTGTACCCCATAAATATGTGCAATTATTGTATTAACTGAATTTTTTTTTGTTCTGGTCCTGGGGCTTGAACTCAGGCTTTAGGCACCATCTCTGAGCTTCTTTTGCTTGAGGCTAATGCTCTACCATTTGAGCCACAGATCTTCTGGCTTTTTCTGTGATTAATTGGAAATAAGAGTTTCATGGGCTTTCCCTGTCCAGTCTGGCTTTGAAGTACAATCCTCAGATCTCAGCCTCCTGAGTAGGTAGGATTTCAGGCGTGAGCCACAGAGACCTGTTTTTGTTGTTGTTGTTGTTGGTCATGGGGCTTGAACTCTGGGCCTGGGCACTGTCCCTGAGCTCTTCAGCTCAAAATGACAGCTCTACCACTTGACCCACAGCGCCACTTCCCAATTAAAACTTTTAAAACATACTTCTAGCTAGACAAATGGAGCACAATGTCAAGTATTTCCATCTCTCCATTCTCACAACTCTATGATGTAGCTAATTTGATTTATTTTCCCTTTGTAAGTGAGGATATGGGGCTTGGAGTGATCATACATCTAGCCCACGAACATCAGATTCAAATATGGTGTCTCTACTCAAATCACTACACTTCCCCATTAATTTCTTTTTTTTTTCCTGCATTAATTTCTAAAACAAGTAGTAATAACAACATATGGGGACAGCAGAAATCCTTAGTAGGATTGTTTAAGTGAGTTGTTGAAGCATTGGTATCATCAGCCATCTGTCTAGAAGCATCAAAGAGCCCTCCTTCCCAGGGCTCAGCTCCACAGGAATGTGTGGGCCTTATCTCCTGGGCAACAGATACCCTGTTCTGAAGAGGGAGGGAGCCCAGGATGGGCTAACAACATGGAATTCAAGAACTTTTGTTTTCAGCCTTGTTGTATTCAAAATAAAAACAGGAAAAAGTAGAAAAGTAGAAGGAAAAAAAGGAAACTTTTCAAGTAAAAACTTAAAAAAAATCATTCCAATTCTCAAGATAGGTTGGGGGGGAGGGAGTAGTTGTGGAGGTGGGTGGGAAGGGATGGTAGGGGGAAAACAAAGGAGGAGGCAACAATGCTCAATAGGAAATGGACTCATTACCTTGCTCACGTAATTGTAACCCCTTTATACAGTATTTTTACAATAAAAAATGAACAAAAAAAAGTATCTTTTGGGAATTACTATAAATGCTTCAAGATATTACTTGCTGCTAGGCATAGTGCTACATGCTTATAATCCCAACAATGTGGGAGGCAGAGCTAAGAGGAACTTGTGGTCTAAGGCCAGCCTGGGGGAAAAAAATTCCACAAGATGCTTATCTGAAAAATAACCCCAAAAGAAAATCTGTAAGGGGTTGGGAGTGTGGCTTAGGTGGTAGAGTGCTTGCCTAGTAAGTGCAAAGTTGAGTTCAAAGCCCAGCATCACAAACAAAGGAACAAAATTACTTGCTTCCCTTTAAACATGCTGCCATTTCTGTTCTGTTTGAAGTCAGCATATTTTAAAACCAAGTGCAGACTTAATAATTGTAATTCTTGGTCATTATCAAGTTTTGTATTTTAGACAATATCATTGTTGTCTAAAAAGTAAAATAAACGCTCAGTCTATCTACAAGTCTGCTGCTGCCCTAAGCAGAAAAATGTTACGAGATGGCAACTCGTAACGAGATGGATCAAAGGAGTTGCACGACCTGCAAATGTTTTAGGAATATGAGTGTTTTTTTTGTTTTGTTTTTTAAGTTGTGTTGTTGTTTTGGTGCTGGTCTTGGGGCTTGAACTCAGGGTCTGGGCACTTTTCTTGAGCTTTTTTGCTCAATGCTAGCCCTTGAGGCACAGCTCTACTTCTGGCTTCTTTAGTGATTAATTATAGATAACAGTCTCATAAACTTTCTTACTTGGGCTGGCTTTGAATGGAGATCCTCAGATCTCAGCAACCTGAGTAGTGGGGATTACAGGAGGAATATTAGTATTTTTAATAAAACAGAGTGCTAGGGTAATGCCAGGCTCCCTTGTAACACCTGTGTATAAAATATGGCCCAGGAGAAAGGAGAAGGAGTGAGGTTGGTAAGAGAAATATTTGAGACTTGGTAAATCTATAAACTAAGTTTCTTTGACCGTAGTAGCATATATGTTTAAAATCAATTGTTCGACAATTTGCCCTATAAAAGTTAGAATGTGTTTCTGACTATAACTAAGTATCACTATCTCACAATACTGTAAGATTTATGTAATCACTTAATCACAATAAAAAATTGCTATAAAAATCCATTGTTCGAAATAATTCAACACAAAAAGATGAATGTCAGCAAAACATCTGTTAGTAGAGAAAGAACTCCACAATTCACAAGGCAAAATTTCACACTATGCTACAGCATTCCTATTTGTTCTCTTAGAAATGCACAGGGATAAACTTGGGGTTTTTTTGGGTTTTTTTGGTTTGCTTTTTGCTTTCTTTGCAGTGCTGGGATTGAATCCAGGGCCTATGTATGCAAGGCAAGCACTCTACCACTGAGTTATGCAGGTATTTGGAATAAGTAGAACTAGCAAGTGAGGTAAAAAAAGTCACATAATTGGCGGACCAAGCCTCTCAACTACATTACAGACTTTGAGGAACTTGTAATATGCTTCCAAGGAAAGACCTAGAAATCCACTGTGTGTGGTTTCCACTTTTTTTTTTTTGAGATGTTTGTCTCTCAGTTGCTTATCAAATGAACTGTCATTCTTATTCTTACCTTTATTTTTTTCCTCTTTTCTTTTTTTTTTTTTTTGGTGTTGGGGATTGAACTCAGGACGTTGCACTTGCTGGGCAAGTGCTTTGCCACTGAGCTACATCCCAGCCCTTTGTCTCTTTATGTGAACACCTGGAGAATGGACCATGGGTTTGCCATTACAAAAACATTGACTACTATTAATGTAAGTTTTGAAATGTTTCTTTTTAAAAAAGAAAACCCAACTCCAAGCCTTCCTACAAAGCTGGGTCTGATCACTGGATTTTTAAAGCAATTGACATCCATCCAACAGTGCATCATTTCCTTCCCAAGGCTAATCTGGGATGTGTTCTCTTATGCATGACAAACTTGAGTCCAACAAGAATACACGCCTAGCTGAAGAGCATGTAGATCGAGTTGCTTTTAATGTTTTGTATTGTATAAAGGATCTCAACGCACAGATTTATCCTCTTGAATAGGTGGTCGCTTCTCCAGTGTACTCAAAGCAAGTATAAGTCACAAAATGCACAAGAGGCTCTTTCCTTCAATAAAAGGAAAACTAGACTCCAAACTGGTATTAACAAAGCCAAGAATTTGAATGCTCTGCTGCAGTGCTATTTTTCTGACCCAGAAATTCCTAAGCTGTTGCTACTGCCATGAAGACTCACTCCCTACGTGGCTTAAAATGTGTGAAGCAGATGAACTGACGCAATGCTTAGATAGTTTCTAAGATGCGTCTTATGAGTGATTTCATTCGTATGCACTATCACCAGTGATGAATTGAAAATAAATTAATTCTGCCCTAGAGTTAAGCATGAAAACATCTAAAAAATGTCTGCAGTAGTTCATATTCCAGATGCAGGCGTCTTTTCCCTAAACTGCACTGGGGTATTTTTTCATCCATGATGCGATTATTCATTTCTGTGTAGGACTCAAAACTAAGTTTCTTTCAGAAAAATGTGTCCATATCCTGGATACTTCTAATTAGTTATTTAACTGGACTAGAAAAGTTTCTGTGGTTAACAATGCATTGTTTTCCATAGTAAAAACCATGCAATCTAATCTTTTCCATATACCATTCTAAAGGAACAATCCATGTTTTCTCTAAAACCACTGCTTGAGTTAGCTGCTTCTGATAACACTGTATTACAGAAGTAAGGGCAAAAAAAAAAAAAAGAAAGAGTGCTTCTCAGAGCTTCTACTGAATTCTTTGCTTACAAAAAAAAATGAAATACTGGATATTATTGCACCTTAATGATGGTTTTTTTTCCTAAGTTAAAATAAATAGTGAAATTAAAGGGGCTTTACATTATTTCCCTATTTATATAACCTTGGTGTATGGATAATTTATTCCTCTTCTTTCCACCTTGAACTCAGATGTAAGGAGTTTTAGGTTTGGAGAAAAGTATAAAGGCTGAATGAAGATGAATAAAAACATCATGCAGGGTTTAAAAGGATTATCAGGGTCCCATCATTGCTGGTCTCAGATTTTATTGTTTCCACTTCATTAATCCCACAACTACTGAGACTGAAGAGACACCAGCATGTGGACGAAGATTTCTGACAGTTTTATTCACAGTTCACCTCAGTGTTCCTTTACTACCTGTCTCCTGGTATGTTAAAGACTATGATGAGTTATTTTACAGCCTACTTAATCCTACCCTTACAAAACCTGAGGAAGCTCCAGGTTCTGAGGAGCTTTCCTGCGATTCAGAGGTTGGTCCTGGCTTGACAATGTCAATAACACCATCCCTTTGAATGTGTTGTTCCTACTTTTTCAAAAGCAGCTTTTACTCTCTTTGGGTTACATGCTTGAAACTGTATACTCAATTATATTAGCTTTTTAAAAACACTATTCCCAGTTTCCATACCGAAAAAAACCTTCCCTGTTTCTATAGTCATACAGTTATGGTGTCAAATCTGGAATGGTATTGAATATGTCTTATGTCAGTATGAGTACTATTTTAATGGCAGTATTATATAACAGCATCCTGGGTTATTTTCAATGAAAAGGCCTATAATTCAAAGCAAAGGAAGTCAGCATACCATTTGCTAATCAAAGATCCAATCTGGCTTATCTCCAGTAGCTCATGCATTTAATCCTAGCATCTCAGAACGTGGAGATCTGAGGATCACTGTTTGCCAACCCAGGTAGAAAAGTTCATTAGATTCTTATCTTTTATTAACCAGCCAAAAGCCTGAAATGAAGCTGTGGCTCAAATGGCAGAGTGCTAGCCTTGAGCAAAAAAAGCACAGAGACAGCACTCAGGCCCTGAGTTCAAGCTGGGCACACACACATACATCAAGATCACTACCAAACCTTAGTGATGAGTACCCTATTCTTATAAGAAAATGAAAACAGAACATGTCCATTACCTGCATAGAGCCTCAATGGCATCTCTGTCCAGAAAATCATGCTCTCTTTTGACCAAGGTAATATCAATGGGAAACAGGAGATCTATTAAAAAAAAATGGAAAATTTATTAAGCACCAAGGTTCAACTCAGTATATAGCAAAGGGGAAAAGAACTCTCAAAACAATGTAGTATCCTTGCATGAAGGACAGACCCCCCCCCCACATTCTATATAACATTCTGCTGGAGAACAAAGCAGCTTCTCAAGATAATTCTATATCTAAAAGAGCCCACAAAGTATCTAGAAACATGTGATGTTGCCTCTTGCCACAATGGTTCAAAACTGTGTTCTGCCTGTAAATTAAACAGGAGGCAATAAATACTTGCTATAAAATACAATTTAAGCCAAAATAAATCGATCAAAGAGCTTCCTTTTAAAATGTCGCTTTTAATTTTTAAACATGTATCTTTGTAAACAAGTAACAAGGGAAGAGACAATGGAAAAAGTGCAACTAAGCCAAGGAAAGATCTAGAGATCAATGGATGTGGTTGTCAGTGGGACAAAACCCACCTTTATGATACCAAGAGCTAAACAGAACTCAAGATGTGCTATTTTCAAGCAAAATTAGGCCTTCAATATGGTTTCTTAAGGAATCCATGTAATTCTGCTTAAAACAAAGGACTAGATGCACAATTATTGTTAAAAAAAAAAGAGAACTAGAAAGGAGGGAAATAGGAAGAAAATACTCAACTCAAAGGAACCATTTCCTTCTCCATGCTGTCTTAAAAGGATTCCAGAGACATCAAAGAGTGACCTCCACAGCCTATGAGCGTTTGGGAGGGAATGGAAAGGTGAAGAGAAGAGGATTCGGTACAGAATTGCTGAGGGATAATTTGTAATGTCTATAGCACACTATATTACCGATGGTAAAAACAATCATATTCTTTCAAAATGGCTAGTAGAGAAGGTTTTGAGATATGCCAATTGTCCTGTTCTGATCGCTACACACAACAAACAGGTACTGGAATGGGAAATTGTGCTTTGTAAATATGGGCAATTATCAAGTATCAATAAAAAAAATAACTAAACATATAATTATATTTGAAGTTATTTAAATTAAAACATGTTTGGTAAGTAAATGTATACTGAAATATAATTTTTAAAATTTACTTCTTGGGTTTCAGGCCTTGAAATAAAAAAAAAATCTCTGCATTGAAAAAAAAAAAGATTCCTCACAGATAAAAGATATCCAAAATGAGCTGGGAGGAGAAAGACCAACAGTACCATTGTGGGATCGTACAAAAGACCTGAAATTCCACTGGATAAAGGCATTTCAGCTATCAGGGCAAATAATAGGCCTTCCCACTTGAAGGCATGTACAGTATCAGACTGCCTGCAACTCTGAGGATCAAAGTAAAGTGAAAGAAAGTCAAAGAAGAACAAAAAGTCATTACTGCAGGACTTCCATCATTTAAACAATGCCCTTCAGTAGCTAATGGGATAGCAACAGAGCTGACTAACTGTAACAAAGGTAACTAGTAATGATCTAGTTCTTGAATTGAGTCAAGTAAAAATGATTTTACTAGTTGCTGACTTATACCCAATGGTTTTACAGAAAAGATGGAATTTCTTATCCCTACTCATTTGTTTTTTAGAGATGGTAGTTTAAAATACTTAAAAAAATAATGCTGAAAACAATCAAAATTAATAATTAATGGTAAGCTATTTTTTAAGTCAAAAGTTGGAATACTGAGGTTGTTTTGTGAATAGCAAGGGCAAACCAATAAAATAGCTTCAGTCCAAAGACAGATGAAGAAATATACAAAATTCAGTATCACAAGATTGTATTTCTTCATTAACATATAGATGAGGTATCTTAAGCAAATGACTAGTGCCTGTCACAGTAGACATAAAAAAGGACTTTTATGGTGAATGTATGGTGAAATGTAAATTAGAAAATAGAAGACCAACATTTCCTAGTCACTAACAGACATGTGAATTACATAACAGAACTGATATTAAAAAACATGTTTTTAATACTTAGAGAAACATTAAATCTAAAACACAAATTAAAAAGCTCATATGCTTGTTAGGTATATGTGACAAAGCAACTGTGTTCTCTTAGCAAGTCATAACTTAGTATACCAATAGTTGTGCTTACAATTATTTTTCGGACCCAAATTAACTACAATCCTGTTTTTTAAAGAAGGTGATAAGTGACTAAGTGTGAGAAATGTCAAGAATTACATCAGTAATTTCTCTTATTTGCATAGATTTTTTTTCCTGAAAATAGATTTCTAAGAGGAAAGCTTATTGATGTGGAGAAGTTTTTCGAACCCAACTTCCAGCTTGGTTTAAAAGCAGGAAGCAGATGGGCTGGGAAGGTGGCTCAGTGGTAGAGTGTTTGCCTTGCATGCTTGAGGCCCTGGGTTCGATTCCTTAGCACCACATAAACAGAAAAAGTCGGAAGTGGTGCTGTGGCTCAAGTGGTAGAGTACTAGCCTTGAGCTGAAGAGCTGAGGGACAGCACCCAGGCCCAAGAGTTCAAGCCTTAGGATCAAAAAAAAGCAAGAAGCAAAAATTGTCAAGTACTAAATTAAAGCTCAACAGGAAGTGGAGGAATGTGTGGATTGTTATGTGGAGTGTCTATGTCCCAGCTCCCGATGGGAGGATGGCAAGGAGACATGACAACCTGGAACAATGTAATGTACTCCTCACAGGTGAGCTGATGCTTCAAAGAACTTGGAAACACAAAAGATCCGCTAAATGTCTTTCATGCTGCATTTTACAGCTGTGAAGAAACAAGATAAGAGAACTGAGCTTGAACAAACAGAGGTGTCACAAAAAGGTGCCGCTCCACAGCAAACTAACACCAAAACATGGATGTAAATGAAGGAAATTTAATTTTAAACAGAACACAAAGACAGAAACTGTAGTGTTACTGCAAATATAATTATTTTTTCCTATTTCCAGGAGAGCTGTGAATTGGAAATTTAATTGAGTGCTATTTCCCTCCCCCTGCCAAATCTTTTCACAGGTCAAAAATTCCCTCACAAGGAAAGATAAGCAACACTACTAGGTATTAAACAGATATCTTCTTATTCTTAACAGGGGATCCTAAGAACCCAAATGCTTAGTGCAAAGGCTAATGAAGCATATTAACATGAACTCCAACTTATGGAAACAAGAAGTTCTCATTAGATCCTGTATATAGTTTGTTCTTTTTTCTCTATTTTTTCTTTCTTTCTTCATTTTTCTGAGCCTTTTGTACCTTGTGTTTTGCATAATCGACATTGCAATATGTGGAAGGGAAAGGGAATCACAGAAACAGCAGAACAATGGATGAACCACAGCAACATTGATACTCACTTGACATTGTATGTGATATGAACATTACAACTTGGGATGGGGGGGGAGGATAAGGAGGGGTAAGAGGGAGATAAAGAGGGATGGGATAATGATGATTAAAAACAAATGTACTTATTGTCTAACCTATGTAACTGTATCCCCCAGCTCACCACCTTTGCAATTAAAAAAAAAAAAAAGAACAGGTATCTTCTTAAAAAAGAACAAAAAATAATTTGGAGGTGTTTTGTGAAATGGTGTAACAGTAAGATATTTTAGATTCTAACACTACATTCAGACTCTGTTATCTTCATTGCAAAAAATATCACTCTTTGTTACCGGAAGGAAGACTGGGTATTAGAAATTTAAAAAGAATCACTCTTCACCTAGATTTGTTTGAAAATTATCTACAAATGGAATTTACTGGTTCAATTCTGTGATCATTTTTAAATGACTTCATGTAGAGCACAATAAATCACCCATTTCAATGAATGGCTTGTTCATCTGAGCATGTGCAGAGCACATGCCAGGAACCCAGGAATCCTGAAAAGGCTCAGAGTATGAGGTAGACAAGGAAGTTCTTCCTTCTCTAGTCCTAGCATCTCAGTTCCCAGTAACCCTGCACCCCCCTTTACATACCCAGGGCATTAATGAGATTATCAGAGAGCCATACAGACAGAATAAATTCAGCCCAGATGCTGATTCTATTTTTAAGTTTTATTTTTCTTAATTAAGGTGTGGAACACTGATTTACAAACAACTAATATCCAGAAGAGAGATCTGCAAGTCATGACCAACAAAGCATCACAATGTAGATTAAATTAAAGAGCTCTTAGAAATCATTTTAAAACCATGATCAACTTAGGACAATAGCTCTGAGACATTTACCGAAAGAGAAAAACAGACAGCCAAATGACATAATCATCTATTGTCAGTAGAGATTAAGATAATGGAAGTAAAAGCTAAGCATCAACCTATACCATATTTCACTGACACAAATTAAAGTCTGACTATATCAAGTATTAAGTGTATATGGACACATCTTTATTGGTAAGAGTAAAAATCTATATGAGCACCCTAGAATAATTTGCATAATCAACAGAAGGTATATTTTTTACTACCTAGTAACTAATTCCCATATATACATAAAAGATAAATTACTATACATGTACTGCCCAAGACAAGTACAAAACTCTTCAAAACAGCACAGTTTATACAAACAATTGAATGTCCACCAATCAGTTTGACTGCCAATAGCTTGCGTGCGTGCGTGCGTGCGTGCGTGTGTGTGTGTGTGTGTGTGTGTGTGTGTGTGTGTGTGTATGATGGTACTAAGGCTTGAACTCAGGGTCCAGGTACTGTCCCTTAGCTTTTTCACTCAAGGCTGGTGCTCCACTTCCCACTGTTTGGTGTTTCACTGAAGAGCTTCCTGCACTTTCCTGCCTGGGCTGACTTTGAATTATGATCCTTAAGATCTCAGACTTCTGAGTAGCTAGGATCACAGGAAGCCACTGGTTCCTGATCTAGCTTTTCTTCTCAGTGGCGGGGAAGGAAGGGGTCTTTCAGTACTCACTACTACATCATTTTTGAAAGTGAAATGTTTAAAGAACAAAATGTCTGAAAATAATTCATAACTATAAACCAAAAATTATAATTATGTCAACTTAAATAAAGACAGTATTCCTAGCTTACCTTCATAAAGCTGTGCATACTGGGGAAAACCAGTTGCTCGAAGCCAGTCACAAGCTTCCTTGGCCTCGATTTCTACAATAGAACAGAAGAAAGGCAAAACGGTTAGACATGTATTTGACTCTTCACATGTTGCTATTTCCTTGATAAGTTGATTTTAGTAGATAAGCAAGTCTGTTTGGCTATGCAGACCAACACAAAACCTCTCATAATTCAAATGCTTTAAATTTTTATAAATCTTTTCATATAATTATATAATTAGCCTTCTGCCCTTTAGAGAAAACACAGGGATGAACATGTAGCCCCATGATAGAGCAGTTGCTTTGTATATTCAAGGCCCTGGGTTCAATCCCCAACACTGTGGAAAGAAAAAAAGGGGGAAAGCCCCCCACATGAAAATGGGACCCTAAGAGTAAATTAAATTGCTACTTCTATAGTGCTCGGGTTACAGGTGATTATAAAACCAGAGCAGTAATCCTAGCTACTCAGGAGGCTGAGATCTGAGAATCTCAGTTCGAAGCCAGCCCAGACAGAAAAGTCTGTGAGATTATCTCCAATAAATTACCAAAAAAAAAAAAGCCGGAAGTGGATTTATGGTAGAGTGCTAGCTTGAGTGGAAGCGACTCAGGAAGAGCACTCAGGCCCTAAGTTCAAACTCCAGAACTAGCAAAACAAAACAAAACAAAAGCAACACAAAAAGACAGAATGAGAAAATTGAAAAGGGGCCCAATAACAAATTTCAAGCCTGGATGGCTGCTGGCCTGGCTGCTCTGTTACTTTTAACTTCATCAAAAATCCACCAAATACATCCTCAACCTAGAGAAGGACTTACTGGGGCACAGTTATAAACCATGTAACACTCAGGGGCTGGGCCAGATATTACTGCAAAGTGACTTTAGTAGACTAGTATTAGTTCTAGAGGAGAGAGGCCCAGAGGCCCAGGCTGCCCGTCACATGCAGGAGGGCGTCCCAAAGCAAATCCCACAACCTTGGCAAGTTGCAAGGCCTAATCAAGCTCTTCCTTCCCTGTGGTTAAACATCTTGTAGATAGTATTGATAAACAGAAAGGCCAAGAGCAACTGACATGTGGTGTTAAAACTCACTCAAGCAAGCATTTACAATCCTGTTAAAACTGACTCACACAGGAGGTCCAGGGTACATTAATTAGTTTCTCTGTTTGCACAAAGAATATTCCTTTCAACTCCTCTTCCCACTCTCCTCATGCCATTAAGAGTACTTAGTTATGTAAGGCTATTCACTCCTTTGTACCGGGTCTCTGCACACTGCTTAATTCATCCCAGATTCAAATCTTCATTAAGCTTCTTTCTCTTCTGAGCCACAAAGGAGACCGATGGTCATTGAGAGAAGTACACACATCTTATTTTTGCTTACTAACTTTATGGTTCCCAAGCATTCTGGTTTGGTTTTTTTTTTTCTTTTGCCTATTTTTTTTCATGAGTTCCTTGGTCTTTTCAAAAGGTAATCAAGAAAATTCAAATCCACCAAAATAAGTAGGAGTATCTGAATATTGAGTACATTGAGGAGAAAAACAACCACCACATTTTCCATGCTGGTTAATATCCAAACTATAAAACAATTATGGCACTAGAGTGAAAATAATTGGCATGGCAAAGCTTACTTTCATGTGTCTTTCCAGTATAGCGATGAAAGCAGCAGTATTAAAAAGACAAGATTCAGGACTGGAAGGACACAGATTAGAAAAGACTTCAATGTTTGCATCAACTAAATCGATATGCAGAATGGTTCCATGTGACCACCGAAACTTAATCTTTTTTTTTTCTTTTTTGGTGGAACTGGAGTTTTGAACTCAGGGCCTTATCCTCACTAAGTAGGTGTTCTATTACTTTAGCCAGCTTTTGTCCCTATTGGTTATTTTTGAAATAGGGTCTCAATTCCTGCTTGGGCACACATCTAGACTTCAATCTGCCCATTTACACTTCCCACAAAACTAGATGGCACTTGTCACCACATCCAGCTGTTGGTGCTAGTCAAGAAGGGGTCTTAACATTTATTTATTTATTTTTGCCTGGGCTGGTCTATACTCCCTCTTTCAGCCTCCCAAATTAGTTAGGATTACAGACATGAACCACCAGCACCCAGCCTAAGCTTAACATTTTGTATTATTTATGTATTTACAAATAACCTTGTCTCTGTAAGGAATTAGAGAAGTTTCAAATTATAAAAAATACTTTCTAGGAAATTATATTGTGAAGAAAAAAAAAAAAGGAAAGTTCAACATTTTTTTTCTTATTTTTTTTTCTTTTTGCCAGTCCTGGGGCTTGAACTCAGGGACTGGGCACTGTCCCTTAGCTTCTTTTGCTCAAGGCTAGTACTCTACCACTTGAGCCACAGTCCTACTTCTGTTTGGTTTTGGTTTTTTTTTTTTTTTTTCTGTTTATGTGGTATGGAGGAATGGAACCTAGGGCTTCATGAATGCTAGGCGAGCACTCTACCACTCAGCCACATCCCCAGGCCCAACATTTCATTTTTTAAAGTGAATACTTTTTCTCTCAGTGTCCATCCTCTCCACAAAGAGAGGTATGGAAAGAATAAAAAGGGGTGTACCTTTTTAAAATATTTATCTTAGATAACTCACTACTTCTGGTACCTAACCTTCAGAGTTACTGTCACTGAGCAGATTATTAGACATTGGACAAGACAATTGAAAAATAGTTTATAAATATGTTTGCTATTTTAATAGTTTACTTGGAAAGTGGTAAGGAACCAGAATTTCTCAATATCAATCTTTTTTTTTAACTATATTGAAACTTGATACCAGGTCAGTGCACATATAAAAGCCTTAATTAGATACTTATGCTTATTTTCTACCGGTAAGTAAATTCAATGCTCTTACATATCCCAAAGTGAATCTAGGCGCAGCAGTCAGTGTTATAACTGCTTGGCTAGAAAATTATGTGAACAGGCAAAGGGTTTTTCTTTAGTAGATAATTCAATTAAAAACTGAAACAATGGCCCAAAAGCAATCTACCTTTTTTTTTTAACTATGAAAATACCGTACAGAGGAGGTTACAATTACATGGGCAAGGTAATGAGTACATTTCTTATCAAGCACAATCTACTTTTAAGAACCTTAGAGTTGCAATAATTTTACCCTTCCTTTTCTTCATCCTAAAATGATCATTTTTTCATACTTAGAACCATGGTATACAGCCAGGGCTGTTATAACTATTTTGCATTATCAATATCCATTCACTGCATGATAAATGAAAACTTAATTGAGTGCTTTGGTAGAAATCTGAATTAGAGCCATGCTCTGGTGGCTAATGCCTGTAATCCTAGCTATTTCAGGAGGCTGAAATCAAGGTTCAAAAACAGCCTGGGAAGACAAATATGACTCCATTTAACCAGTAAAAAGCTGGAAGAGGAGGTGTGGCTCAAGTGGTAGAGCCTTATCCTTGAGGGGAAAAGTCAAGACGTAAAGCCCTGAGTTCAGTCTCCAGTACAGGCCAAAAAAAAGTCTGAACTAGAAAACTGGGGGGTGCTGTCACAGTGGGTTTTTTTTCTTTTAAATGGAATAGTTATAGATCTCACCCCTACATGTTCCAATTAATACAAGGAGGTACTAACCATCAAATATAAATACTTAAAAAACATATGATTTGCAAGATGAAGTGAACCTGGTCTATAGCCAAGTCAGGTAAAGAATGTGTTTGAAGTTTTACTCCCCAATTCAAGCCATTACTTTCTTTCATTTCCAAACTAAAATTCCTCCTCTTTGCAGAGTATCTATAACCCGGGTTCACCAAAATTCCTGAGTTACAGTTTGGATGCCATCTGTCCCCCACCCTGCCTACATCATCAGTCTAGACAACTCAAGAGTAGTGTTCAAAGCTCTCCACATGGCATCTTAGCCAATGTTTCAATTTCCAGTTCTCCCTCAGTCTGGTCAAAGTAAACTTGGTGCCGATCTCCGGCCCCTCTCCCTTTCTCTGCCTAAAATACCCTCCCATTCCTTCAAGATCAAGGTCAATCCGAAAGCCTCCATCTTCTGAGTCTGTGCAAAGCCTGATCTGAGCACTGAGTGTCAGGCAGTTGATTTAATTCAGGCTTATACCATCCCACCCCCCAGATAAAATGATGCTAAGAGCCAGGTGCCAGTGACTCATGCCTGTAATCCTTGCTACCTGGACCCCAGGTTCAAAGCTAGCCTCGGTAGGAAAAAATCTGTGAGAATCTTACCTCCAATTAACCACTAAAAAACCAGATGTGGAGCTGGAGCTGTGCCTGAAGTGAGCCATGAGGCCCCTGACTGTCAGAAAAAAACAAACACCCCAAAATAAACTTTCTACTGACCCATGCTACGTTGGGAGAGAGAATGAAGACTTACAGAATTGCTAACTCTCTTCCTGTAAGGCAGGTTCATTCCTTTAGCAAGAAACAAAATTTAAACTAGTAAAGAAAAACATTCACCTAACACTTTAGTCACCTTAATATCTGCCTAGGCTAGTTCTGGGGACTTCTGGTTGCCAGGGTATGATTTTTTCCCTTGAGGATATGTGAGTGGTGGTGTGAAAACAAAAAGGAGGACATTTAAAATAAATAAATAAATATTCCCCACTGGGCAAAAATGCCATCTGAAAAGACAAATACAATGGAAACACAATGAGTCTTTTATACCTGGGCTTTTGCTAAGCAAGCAACAGACAAATGTGTTAAGGAGGAAACAGGAAATTTTTATTGGAAGCAGCTTTAGTCCTTGGTCAATTCACAAAGCAGTTCTGCACTGTTAGCTTAATAAGGACCAGGAGACTCTGTTGCATGGCTGGAAACCATTAGGCCATAGGTACACATTTCCTGATATGATGAGATGTCCCCATTTCCAGTTATCCCTTTAAGTCAGCAGAAACCCCCTAAACCCATCAGCATTCTGCTGGGCTCAGTTGATCCTACTGATTGGGTCTAAGTGGGATAGTGTTCCTTCCTCTTTTTATCTGCTGAAGGGTCATAGTGGAAGCTCTCATATTCTTTCCTTCTTCCCCAACACACCCGGCAAATTAGGACAAATGCAAACGTAAGCTGCATTTGTTTCTTAA